AGGTTTTCATTTTGAGCGGCGGTTCTTCTGAGAATTTTCCAAAAAGTACGCACTACGATAAGGAGATTTTTTAATATACTTGAAAAAGTAGGAGGTTCTTTCCCATTGACTGTATTTTTTGTAGTTTTTTATCGCAGAAAACATATTATTATCATCCGTGTAAACATAATTGCAGGTTTTGGTCAATACTTACATGGTCTTAATGAACTACCAACCTCAGAGGGCTGAGTGTGAGTTTTTTCAAACGTGCTCGTGCGTCAAAAAATGACATTAAATGTATGACGGATTGTACAGCGCCCCTAGCGGGAAACTATCAAAAACTAAAATTTTCATACAATTTTTAAACGCGCTCACTAGTGAGCGCTTTTGATGTAAACTCACACTCACCCCACAGTGCTTACAAACAACAAGATTAATTAATTAATTTTATCAATAAATAAACCAACTGAGTTTTCATAGATACCTAATTCAGTACTTGCAACGCCATCTGTGAACGCGTGGAGAACCTATCATCACCACTGAAGACATTCATACCCATCTATACTTACTGTAAAAAATCTTCACACATATTTTGTGGTATAACTTTTGAAATCTGCTTTTGTAATCGAACCAATTAAATGTGAAAAGAAACAAGTTAATTTGATTACCTTTTTCGTTAGTGTGTAAAATAGTCTTATATTTTTATTTATGATCTAACATGATAATATTGAAATTGAGGCGGAGCGAACGGTGTCAATGTCGGTAAGTCGGTTTGCCGATTCAAGACTCGGGGTTCGAATCCCATGTTGTTGGACTACTTATTGCAGGGAACTCACTTCCTTAGGGAAGGGTTTAAAGTAATTCGTTATAGTAATTTGTTGAATACAAAAAAAAGATTTTAGAAACTCGAAGTAATTTTTATCATTCGTCGTTAGCTAATGTATTTATGTAACAGAAACAATAACGGAAGCGGAAACGGAAACGATGAAAGAAAATTTAATCAGAAATGGAAATAGAAATTGGTGCGGAAATGATATAGAAAAAAAATGCACATCCCTACAAATATTATTATTAAGGTAGCCTTTCGAACTAAGCGTCACAGACGCAGCGTCTTTAGCTTTGGTCTTGTGCCACCAACGCCGCGTCACTCACTCGCTTCCAAAGGCTACTTTTAAGACCAAAGCTAAAGACGCTGCGTCTGTGACGCTTAGTTCGAAAGGCTACCTTTAATATAATTGAAGTAGGTATAGTAAAGTATAATCTTTAATTCGTTCAGTTTAGGAAAAATCGTAATACCTACCTACGTAGGTACCTTCCTTGCCAGCTGTGACTTCTCAATTGGCGTTCGCAGAACAAGGTGTTAAGTCAATTAGACCATCGCCTTCAAATTCCGTATGTTACTTTCATTAACACTTGCCTAATATCGAGTAACGGGGTAGGAGAGTCAACGCCACGACAACAACACCTATTCTATGAAATCAATGACCTTAGACATAATTTCAGAGAAATATGCTTGTAAAAAACGCATCGTAAAAAATCGCTGCGTTTTTGTTTTGCGAGGCCGTTACGCGCGAAGTTGGAGGGGCGAAGATTTTTAAAGTTTCGAATGTCTCGATCCTTCTCATGCAAAGTGAGCTCTCAGCATGACCGACAGTGACAGATTGAACTGAAACTTTCTTTAACTGCGTTTAAGAGTAGCCCAGCTGGTTTCAATCAAGTGTGGACATCATTTGGAATGACGCAAGCAAAAGCACAGCATAAAATATAACGACGTCGATTTCGCCCCATATTTCTTAAACTTCATAATAATGAGTGTCCTAAGGGTTAGTTTTGTTTGACGAGCCATTTTTCAGTTTATTGGCGCTGAATGCTTTTGAAGAAACTGAGTCCCAGTTTCGATTCCTGTAGGCCTAGGATGCGCGCCGCGATAAGCGGTTATCACGTCATTTTATCGATTTTGCCCTCAGATCATAGAAATATGATCTGAGCCCATACATTTTGACGTCGATAAAGAATATCACGCCGCGCATCCTAGCCCGGCTGAAAACGATATCGTAATAAAACGATAACGTCAAAAAACCATGCTATTATTGGAGAAGAATATTATTGGCATTTATCAAGTGTATTTAATTTTGTATTAAATTAATGTTAATTCAGTTCATATTTGTATAAATATAGCCAGTTTCTATTGGCGCGGGGTGTATGGCTGTAGATAAGTACCGTCCAAGGCTGTAAAGTATGGTGGATATTTTCAGGGGGACGCAGAACATTTCTACCAAAAAATATGTCTACAATTTTACGTGAAACAAACATTTCGTGAAGTTCAATAACGTTATCTTATTAATTACTTAGATAAAATTTATGATTCTTTTAGTCTTAAAACTAATTAAATTTTTCAATTAAGTAGGTCTATAAAAGAGCTTTTGTAAGTAGGTACATAAGATTATTTAAAAGTTAGGTACCTACTCTAGAGTAGAGTAGGTATTTTTTTAGATTACTGTGTATAATAAAATTTAATTTCTAATTTCTATCTACCTAAAAGTTTGCCTACTTACTGTAAAAGAATGTCCTAAGGCTTAAGTTCCTCTTTTGTTTGTACCCTAGCCTACCCTAGGTTTTATGTTGCTTACTACAACGCTTAATTTACAACCTACCCGTCAAATAGGTTCTCTAGTAAAGTAACTGGTTAAGAACAATCAAACAACTGACCCGAGAATATTAATAGTCTACTCACCCTAAATGTTATGGGAACCCCCTTTCAAATCAAACTAAAGATTAAACTGATTAAACCAACTAATACCAAAAAAGAAAGCTAACAATATCCTGACAATTTCGGCCGCGTAAATCCGAACTACCAACAGGTGAAATCCATTAAGGTCTGGCGAGAAATATGATTCGAGGGGTTTCTTGGTAAGGAAAATCCCTTATTTCTGCCGACGAACAAGAGGAATAGTAGTGGTTCAATTTTTCTTGAAACCCTGCTCTTTGGACCCTTTGTACAAGCCCCTTTTGTGTGTTTTGTAATAACGTCCATTAGTGGGTAGTTGGACAGATAAAAGTGGGGGTATTATAGGTACTACTTTTAAGCGTATACAGAGCAGAGCTTATTCGATTGCGTACATGGGCCAGTATTTGCTTTAGCTTCGGGTTTAGGTTAATACTTTCTTACTTAAAAAAAAAGGATGAGTTGGCTTAACTCATCAAAATAACTTAAAAAACTTAACAAAAAAAACATAACCTTCCTTCTGGCGCAGTCGGGTAAAAATACATTGAAATGATTAAAATTAAAACTAATAATCACGTCGAAAATAAAAGATGAACTAGGTAATTACAAATACAACAAATACAAATCTATTTATTCAAAAGTAAGTACATGCATATAAAAACAAGCAACAAATGTTTAAGTACAGACATTAATGTATCTTACAAAATATTATGATTCTAAAAACATTGAGCTTTGCTTCCTAAGTTAGGGCAGAGCCCTGTATTTTAGGATAAGCAAGCGCTCTTCTCATAGCGAAATTCGCAAAAAGATCTGGGGGCACGGCAGTGCCCCCACCAAGTCGAGCAAAAAAGCGGCACGGCCGTACCATCCTTTTCTCGAAGCAATTCAGGCCATTTTCGACCGCCTGTAACTTCGTTGTGGATAAAACTAGAAGGCTGAATTTTCATTAGCTATGCAGGCATTGTAAAGACACGGTATATTTAAAATTTCATTCAATTTGAACCAGTAGTTTAAGAATTATAACGGGTCAAAGTTACTTAATTTTGTCACTCACTCACTGACTCACTGACTCACCGATCATCAAAACTCTAAGGCACTTCTAGCAGACCTAGAAGCTTCAAATTTGGAATATAAGTAGTGTTTGGTGTATGAATCAAGGAAAAACTAAAATATTTGGGGGCACGGTAGTGCAACCGCCAAGTCGAGTAAAATTTTTCAATTTCGGTCCAGTTTTCTAGATACATAACTGCTGTCACTGTCTACAAAATACAAAAAGAAATGAGATCCCATCAAAAACAATACTTGTCAAAAAAACCAAGTCTCGCAACTCAGTTGTTCTACGGTAAAAAGTTGTGAGATCCATGTAATACCAAGTCCAGGCCAGGAAATCTTTTAACTTTTACATAAATATATTGACTTGGCCATCGCATGAAAACACGTGTAAATTAAATTATTTAGTGTTCCAAGTTTCTATGACTTTTTTATTTAAATTTAAATAATTACGCCTGATAAGATGTCAAAATGTATTTCTGCGTGGAACAAAAAAACTAAAAAAGTTACATAATTTTATACTAGATGGCACTGCAACACATGCTGTTTAAAGCATGCTTATCACCAGAAGGCTCTGTTTGCCTAAATATCAAAAGTGAAACTAATGCATTGACCAATAGAAAGTATCTTGAGGAGATTTTTAGCCAATAGGCATACTCGAAAATGACATTTATCATCGAATAGTATAAAGTCGCAGGCAAAGAGAACCTTGTTGCGTCGTATCCCGAAATGCACCAATGAAATTGCGAAATGTGGCCCAAATCCATGACGTCATTATTTCCACGTTGGAAGTTGTTGGGAGATGTCATGTCCTAAATTATTTTGTAAACTAAAATAAAGTAAACAAAATAATGTCTCTAATACATTAAAATCATAACACAGTGCAGTTTTAAAACAAAAACAAAGTGCGGTAATCAAATGGAATTATTTATGATGGACTTTGTGCGGTACTTCGCAGATAAAAAATGACGCTTGCTAACGACGATATGAACAGGATCTTGGATTATCTTACAAGAAATGACCACGAATTATTGGACGGCTTGAACAATAAGATGGAAAACTTTCAGCAGGACGGCTTAATGGTTAGTATTTTCACTGTCTTGAGATCTCGGTGACTGTCGCTATCAATTGATAAGCTATCACAACGTAGAGGCTATCTGGTAATTTTGGCCCAGTTAGCAAAACAAGCGTTTTGTCTGGCGGGCAAAGAAGTAATAGAGTGATCGTATCGTCGGCTGGACCCCGTTGAACAGCTTTCGTGCTCACGCTCGTACTTTTACCGTTATACGTTCATTTCGAGTAGTGAACGGCCGCGGTTCGCTCGCCGACGCCTCTCACTTCGAGTGCAGTAAATATTCCCGGTGTTTTCCTTATCTAATTAGCTAATTGTTAGTCCGTGTAGGGGTTTGCCCGAGCAAGGTAGTCGTGTTCAGTCCCGACAGTGCGTCAGCGCGAGTCATCGCGAGCCCGGCTCTCTGTGTAAACATCATCATTTATCGCTACTTTGCCAGCTAGGCACCATGCGGTCGGTGCTCTTGCCATATGCCATGTAAAACTTTGGTGTGAACATTGAATTTATAAACAGAACATTATTTTGTGAACTCAACGGACCATTTGGATTGCAGTTTGACATTCTCCAGTGATTTGTCTATGTCAAAATAACATAAATAAGTGATTCCCTGATGTTATTTGTGTTGATGTAACATCAATGCAATCGTGAAGTGTTCAAAATGGATAAAAAACTAGATTTGTTATCACTGTTGGAGGTAATTTTGATTATTGATAATTAGTAGTTATTTTTACTATTTATATCCGCATTATTACAGTTATATTGCAACCTTGTATGGCTTATTTAGACAGTAACTTAATCCTATATTTAATTTTATTGATAATTTTATTAAGTGACAATGTTTATCATTATTATCACATGAAATAGTCTCAAAGCGGAAGCCTACAAACAGATATTATCTGATAAGACTAATATATTATCATTGTTATGTAAAACTGTAGTATAATTACTGCAGTTAAAACAAATTTAACCAAATTTAAAGTTGAACCGAGAACCCCTTTCTCTTCATATTGTTTAGAGTAAAAGTCTAGAAATGAAAGTAACACTCATTTAACACATCTTATTTTTTGTTACTCATCACTTAGTATCATTTATGAAATCTGAGTTAGGTATTCCTGAATCAAAACAGATGGGATGGGATACTCAATGAATAATATATTTTCAGTATTTTTTTTTAGAGGAAGTTTATACCTATTGTGGTATCTTTCTTTACACATTACTTATGATGATAATGTTAGTGGTGATTATTAATACCTATTTATTTAGTAATATTTCATCAGTTTTTGTTATTTACACTAATTTGCTATTAATTAGGTAATTACATAATAGACAATTAATGACAATGCCCAGAACGCTGAATTTTTTACCTTTAAATACCATGCATGTCGACACTGCATAAGAAACTAAGAATTTTTATGACTGTATGATAAATTTGATGTAGTTTACAGATTTGTCTTTCCTAATTAAATTATTGTAAATGTAATCAAATACTTTGATGCATGCATAAATGTAATTAGTTTGTGTCAGATGCAAACATGATGTATTACAATATTATGTTATGTAATAACTGATATACGATATCAAATTTTTCATAAATGTCATCATTTCAGTCGGACTCCTGGCCGGCTTCCGACGATTTTCTGGAGAACATCTTCTCCCTGGACCAGGGGTCGTTGAACTTTCTTGAGGAGTCTATGCCAGATTTCGGTCTTGGTCCGGACAATTTATCGAAGCCATCTGAAGGGCTGAGCAGCTCATCCTCAGACAGTGGACTCTCCAGCGACCAGGCAGAATTGTGAGTTTCTTGCTTTATTTATACATGTAAATTTAAGTACCATGTCCTCCTCATCAATGTCTATAGAATTCATAATGCTACTTGCCTATAAAGAGCGCGTTTTCAAATACAATGAAGCCATAGATTTATTCATCAATTAATTATGAAAAAATATGCCATATCACATTGGATTAACCAATTGAAAAATACATAAATCTCATATTAAATTACTATAATTACTCAATATTTTTAAACATGTTCAATTCATTTTTGAAACTGCAATAGCAAATTAAAAAATGAAAGTTAATACAGGCTCTCACTGAGTATTAGATTAGCGAATATCCTTTCAAGATCACGCGCGATTGACAGACAATGTTCTTAATATTTCGTAATCAATCACATACTGGTTTGGTGACGGCATTATGAAAGCGGGCATACAAGAGTCATGTCAAAAGTGGAGCACTGCTTATCGTTGTTTCGGTCGAGTTTACAATTTTATCGCCTCCTGCTTTCGCGATGCACTTCGGTGTATGGCCACAGTTTGTTGATAAATCAGACGCTTCTGCTAAACCTTTAGGTAATGAGGGACCATTTTACCAAATTTCTGTCTTGTCAGGGACCACCTCATAATCGATCAAAAGTAAACCAGTTTGACTGCAAAAATCAGTTAAAAGTGGTTTTGACCACCAGTGGTCCGCGGACCACCGGTTAAGAACCACTGTGCTAAACGGATGCTGTTCGACAAATAACTACACTTTGATATACTGACTTTGACCTAATCCTACAAGCTCGGTACAGAAGTTAATTCTTGGCTCCGAACTCCTCCAATTTTCTCCTGATTAAATTGCCAAATTCGCTAGACAATCTCAAAGTCAGTTTAACTTTACTACGGGACTAACTTAGACTACACGTATTGGATATTGGCGGTCAAGCCCCTATCCTGTTCCTGGCTACACAGGAACAGTTGCAGTGGGAACCAACAGTGGGAATAAATAGTCCCGTTTTAGGCATGTATCGGCTCGAAACGGTACCTAATCAAATTCACCGTTAGTAGATAGATAGATAGATAAAACGTTTATTTGCATAACAGAAACACACATTACAAACAGAAAGTACCAAAAGTAGGACAAAATAGTACCCTCAGGACAATATGACATGGTATGGTAAGACAGATATAAAAAGAAAAAAAAATCATTATGACATACAATATAGGTACACACTTTATACAGAAATGTGTGTCGCAGCAATGCAAAACGGCAATAGCTCAGTAATTGGTTTACTTAAAAGCAAACCACTGATTTTCAGCTATAGCCTAAGGACGAAAGAACGCGCGTAACACGTCAACGTGACGGTTGGGGTGTGGTGAGTTACGTACGTTAGTACGCGGACAGGTAACTGACGCTTCTTAACTTTAATTGACCTGAGGCTATTGAACAAAACGAAGACTTCAAATAACTTTTCAATTCTCGTACCGATGAGGCTGAATTTGTCAGTGTACATCTTTGACCTCGTTGTACCTACCTACTCTAGAATAAGAAAACAGGCTATAAATGAACATTTATTCTGATGAAGCGTGTTTAAATGGAAAATATTCCTGACTGATGCCTGACTTGATCTTGTAAAACATTAAATTCAGTTCAGGACGACTTTAATTTAATCTTGACCAACCGACCTTAAATCTATCTAGGATACTGTAGATATAGATGTAATCAGAAGAAGATATAAACAAAACAAGATAATAATGAAGACTCCGACTAAATGGTCAGCGTTAAAAGTTTGAAAGTTCGCCTTTACAGACTAGTTAACACAGTAGTCGCTTGTTTAAGATGGTTACCACAACAGTTACGCGATGTCGATAATGACGGGCACTTCTGAAACCTTTGTCACTTCGAATTCGAATTAAAAACTATCCGGCATGCAAGAAATCACGTGCGCGCACATGCTTCGAATGCTGATGCCTCAAATGCTGAGCAAACAGAAGTTATGCGCTAAGGCCACGGACATCGAGGTGTTCGACCTCTAATGATGACAGATTTGCATAAACTAGAGAAAACCGTGGCGTCTCTATGAGTCACAAACTCTTAAAATCTCAGCGTCGTAAACTAAGAACTATTTGCCCAAGCTAATGAACTGTCGGAATCCACTTCTAATGAATTTACTTGGTCGTTAATAGTCAGCAATTTGAGTCGTGAAGCAGCGAACATTCTGATATAATTACGTGTGTTTATGTAATCATCGTTACCGGTTGTGATATTACCAGTCGAGTTATGTCTCATGCTTTGTCTTTTGAAAAGATTTGTAGGCACAGAGCAGAGCTAATTCGATATGTATAATATCGATAACTTTCCCCTTTTACTTAGTCATTTGATTACATGGCATATTACGAAGCATTTCGTAAGTATTAGGTTCATTAGTAGAGTATTTGAACGTATATACCTGTCTTTGTTTTGGAAATATGCCGTTATCGATCGCAAAAAACGCGTTACTGACATCGTTCGTTTCAGCCGAAAGACGTCCACTGCTGGACAAAGGCCTCCCCCAAGGATTTCCACAAAGACCGGTCCTGCGCCGCTTGCATCCAGGTACTTCCCGCGACCTTTACCAGATCGTCGGTCCACCTAGTGGGAGGCCTGCCCACGCTACGTCTTCCAGCTCGTGGTCGCCACTCAAGAACTTTCCTGCCCCAGCGGCCATCAGCTCTTCGAGCTATGTGCCCCGCCCACTGCCACTTGATTTTAGCGATTCTGCGGGCTATGTCAGTCACTCTGGTTCTCCTACGGATCTCCTCATTTCTGATTCGATCACGCAGGGAAACTCCGAGCATAGCACGCTCCATCGCTCTTTGGGTGACCTTGAGCCTTCTTATGAGGCCCATAGTAAGCGACCACGTCTCAGAGCCATACACCATCACTGGCAACACACACTGGTCAAATACTTTTGTCTTGAGACACTGCGGTATTTCGGACGTGAGAATTTCGCGAAGCTTCCCGAACGCTGCCCAGCCGAGTTGGATTCGACGATTAACCTCTTTCTCGAAGTTGGACCTACCTAACTGGACTGTTTGTCCCAGGTATACATAAGCCGATACTGAGCAGCATCTTCAGAGGACTGCAGAACCAAGTTTCGTCTCTCTTCCATAAGTTTATTGGTGAGGTCAGAGATCTTTTTGGTTCCTTTTGGACGACGGGTTTTAAAGAACTTAGACCCAGTCGTTTGGACAATTTCCACGAACCTGTCATTGTATTCGTCCACATTTTCGCAGTCTCCTAGGCATTCGAAACGATTTTGCAACTCGAGCTGAAAGCTTTCGGGGTTTTGGAGTTGGATGGGCGCTGGGCGGAGCGTAGACTTCATCAGTCGACGCCTCTCGAGCTTGGGTCTGATATTCAATGTGCCTCTTACCATTCGGTGATCGCTTCCTGTTTTGACCGAGTTGATCACAGAGACATCATTGAATATATGCTTCTTCGTCGACAAGATGAAGTCGATCTCATTTTTTATAGCGCCATTGGGATGCAGCCATGTCCACTTTCGCTGTTTTGGCTTCCTGAAGAAGGAGTTCATCATAAAGAGGCCCTCCCTCTCCATAAAGCCAGCCAGCAGTTGGCCACGTGCGTTCCTCTCTCCATACCCAAATTGCCCCACTTTCAGCTCATTATCGCTTCGTCTACCCAGCTTCGCGTTGAAGTCCCCCATCACAACGGTAAAATGGGACCGGGAGCTATGTATGGCTCTGGAAATATCCTCATACATAGTCTCCACTTCGTCGTCGGGGTGTTCCGTGGTCGGTGCGTATACCTGTATGACCTTCAGCGAATACCGTTTGGTGATTCTGAGTATAAGGTACGCTACCCTCGCCGAAACACTCTCGATCTGGACCACGTTGTTGACAAGGGACTTGTGGACGATAAACCCGACACCACCCTGGGACTGCTGGTCGCCCTCCCGGAAATAGAGCAGGTTTCCGGATTTCAGGATTATGGTGTCCTCCCCCTCTCTTCGGACTTCGCATAATCCTACGATATCCCACCGCAACCTGCTCAGTTCTTCCTCGAGTTCGGCGAGCCTCACGTCAGTCCGCAGCGTGCGAGTGTTAAATGTTGCCAGGGCCAGAGGTCGTCGGGGTTGGTAGCCTGTCGGTACCCGGTGATTCTTAGCACCCCTCGCCCCACCGTTACCGTGACCGCTACCGTGGCCCGGGATAGTGGGGCCGCCGGGGACTAGGGGCCGTGTTTTTTTGTTCCTCTCCATGGGGGGGGATTTGCCTTAATCGCCACGCTTGGCAGGCGGGTTGGCGATCGCAGTTTTTTATAAGGTTTCGCACGCAGACGCTGCTGCCCGTCCGGTGCTGCAGGGATTTTGTCGCCTCTTACGACACGCCTCCTGTTGGCGGTGGGGAAGAGTAACTGACATCATCCTAAAGTTATTTTTGAGGGTTCATTGACAATGCGTGACTCAAAAGAAATCGAAAGCACGCACCTTCTTTGTGTCTAAATTTTAATAGCAGGTCAACACTCATTTAAAGCTCTCGCAAAACCCATCAGTAGAGTGAGTCCACGTCAGTTAAATGTTACAAACCAGCCGTGTCCGTGACTCACGTTCAGGCATGATGCAACTGCTTTGCATCATAAGTAACTTTGACTAGCGACCGATTTTGTTTCGGTACGGTTTATATTCCAGTCTGCAATCCTCAGGCTATCAAACAAGTAGGGCACGAAGTTGTTGTTTCAATTCTAGTTCGTATTTGTATTGTTACAAGCGCAGCATTCGTTTCAACTGTCCAAGTCGATGCAGTTCGGGTTAGGCTGGATTTAACAAGTGTGAATATAATTTAGTGAGTCGTAATGTCAGAGTGTATAATTTTTCAGTTGAATTTTACACGTGTGAGTGTATAATTGGTTAATTTCTTAAACAACTAGTTACTCAGGTTTTAGAAGAAACAATTAAATTATCAAACTGCCAATCGACTCCTCTTTGAAGTGACTGCTCAATCCTTTAAAAAGGTATACTTACTGTAGCTC